ACATCCTTTTTGGTCTTTTCTTCCTTTCCTGTCTTTTTAATGACCTTTTGCTTTCTTCACATATGGTGTTCTTGATGTCATCCCACAGTTTGTCTGGTTTTCGGTCATTGGTGTTTAATGCATCAAATCTATTCTTTAGATGGTCTCTAAATTCAGGTGGGATATAATCAAGGTCATATTCTGGCTCTTGTGGACTTGTTTTAATTGTCTTTAGCTTCAACTTGAACATGCATATGAGCAGTTGATAGCCTGTTTCACAGTCAGCTCCTGGCCTTGTTTTGGCTGAAGATACTGCACTTTTCCATTGCCTCTTTCCACAGATGTAGCCACTGTGGTTACTGTGCATTCCATCTACCGAAGTCCACGTGTGTAGCCAGTTTATGTTGTTGATAAAAGATATTTGCAAGAAATAAGTTGTTGGTCTTGAAAAATTCTATCATGTAATCTCCATTTCTATAACCAAGGCCATATTTTCCAACTGCTGATGATTCTTCTTTGTTTCCAACTTTTGCATTCCAGTCACCAGTAATCAGCATATCTTGATTGCATGTTTGGTCAGTTCATCTTTGGCTTTGGTGATTGATGTGTACATTTGAATAATAGTGGTATTAACAAGTCTTCCTTGTAGCCATATGGATACTATCCTATCACTAACCGTCAGGATAGATCTTGAAATGTTCTTTCTAACAATAAATGTGATGCCGTTCCTCTTCAATTTGTCATTCCTAGCATAGCAGACCATTTGATTGTCTGATTCATAAAACCAGTCCAATTCAGCTTACTAATATCTAGGATATTGATCTTTATGCATTCCATTTCATTTTTGACAACTTCTAATTTTCCTAGATTCATACTTTGTGCATTCTATGTTCTGATTATTAATGGATGTTTACAGCTGTTTCTTTCCATTTTGAGTGGTGGCCCATCTGCAAATGGAAGTCCCCAAAGCTTTACTCCATCCATGTCTTTAAGGTCGACTCTACCTTGAGGAGGCAGCTCTTCCGCAGTGTTAATTTTGAGTGCCTTCTGACCAGAGTGGCTCATCATCTGGCACTATATTGGATGTAGTTTCAGGGCTATTCATAAAGTTTTCCAGTAATAGATAGTGTTTCACTGCTATTCATAAGGTTTTCACTGGCCAATTCTTTGAGTAGTGGATGACCCCTTCCTTCTTCCAAGTCTGTCTTAGTCTGGAAGCTCCACTAAACCTCTCCACCATGAGTGACCCTGCTGGTATTTGAAATACTGGTGACGTAGCCTCCAGCCTCATAGCATCACGTAAGCCACCACAGTATGACAAATTGACAGATGAGTGGTGGTCTTTGTATTTTAGTGTTACTATAATGAAGATAGGAGCTCTGGTGGTGTAGTGCCTAAAGAATTTGAGTGCTAACCAGAAGGCTGGCAGTTCAAATCCACCAGCCACTCCTCGGAAGGAAGTTAGGCAGTCTACTTCCATAGTGACACTTCCTTAGAAACCCAAGGAGGGGT